CGTCAAGAAGTGAAACTCTACAACTTTCCTGCCAACTCCAAGCCGAAAAAAAGGTTACGCCAACGGCAGCTTAGTCCCATTACGGCTCAAGACTGTGAAGCCTGTGTCGATACCCCAGCCCACATTGTTGAACTCGACAAACATGTCGGCAATTTGCTTGTCGGCAGTAATCTCGAAAAGGTTGAATCCGTTCACAGGGATGGTCTTGCTTCCGATCCCAGCCATGTTCCAGTACCACAGGACGTTCGTGCAGCCAGCGACCAAAGTCTTGTACGTTGTGATGTTGGTGATTGACGGTGAAAGGAGAACACCTTGGATGTACTTGGCCTTGCCGGAGAAAGTGACTGCGCCGACCTGCCTCACATTAGCAAGAGCTCGAAGCACGTCAGAGGCACAATCTTACGGGATGTCCAGCAAGCATATTGATCGAGTCGGACTTCTCGAAAAAGTCGGGGCCGATCAAGGCTTGGGCGGTGGCATTGGCAGCGTCGACATCGGGATGGTCGAGAATGCTGATGAACTTGGCGACAATGTCGTCAGCGTCCGCCTGCGTCAGGCAGCCTTTTCCGCGCCACGCCGGGCCTGCGCCGTGCCAATCCCTCCAGTTAGGCAAGGCGGCGACTGTGGACGCGAGAGCAAGAGGTGCCAAAATGCTTGAGAACTTCATGGTGGTGGTAAAGGTCGACAAGGATGGGACGTTCAGGGGCGGCGAATTGTGCAAGAGCAAGTGCTAGATAGGCATACAAAAGAGTGACTTGGTAAGGAAAGCGAATGACTTGATGAAGGGAGCGAGTGACTTGGTGAGGGAAAACGAGTGACTTGTGAGAGGGCGCCTTTGGTACAGTTATATAACCTCACCTTCGATGCAGACATATCAAGACTTTTGAATCTTCAGCCACAAGCCACGACTAGGATCTTCCCTTCCCGGATGCGCAAGGAAGAGGAAGATTGGCATCGGCCAACCTCATCTGCGACAATCGTATCCGGAAACACTTTGCATCTTCAATCGTCGCCTTCCGCCAGTCGTGTCTGGAGCGGCGCAACTGATCTGCATGGAGGCCCGTTGATGAGAGTTTGACTCGAGGCACGTTGAGATTGGCCAAGGCCGGGTGTCGGTAAAAGTGTATGGCTGTCGGCGAATACGTTGCTCCGACGTCTGCGATGTGCCAGGCTATCTCAACTTTGTTTCATTAAAGTAGGCATCCAGCAAAGTGTGTTTCTGACCTTGAGCGGTTGAAAGCTGGCCTAACCTAAGGTCGCAATCTCCCATTCATCATGTTGTGTCACTGGATCGTGGACTGTGATGCTCAAATCATCACTGCATTGAGGTGCGACGCGCCTGACACTGAATACTGCCAATGCTTGACTTGCTCATGCAACATGATTTGCCAGGCTGAAGTGAATGATTATTTCTCTGGGGATACAATAAAATGGAGGGACACCCTGTGCTCGTATGAGGTCGGATACCCCAGAGATCAGAGATGGCCCCCAGGCTGGTGAGATTGGAGGGTCTGTTTTGCTTGGCGCGCCGCAGTCGCATTCGGTAGTCGACCAATATAATCTCAAGGCTATCACTACTCGTTTCGGGACACATCCTCTCCACCATTTAGTCTGGACTGGAACGTTCAACAGAGTTCCTGGCTCGGAAAGAACCTTGTATCGCCACAACAAAGCCTTCGAAGATGCGTTAGTCCCCGCCATACAACGAAGACCTTCAAACGTACGGAGTAATGGCGTGCAGGTCTGTTCCAGCGGAGACGCGACGGGACAGGTAAGATGATGGCCCACAACCTGCTGCTCGCGGATATATGCCTATATCCTTGCCTCCTGTCAACTAGATTATTGGGCCTTGCCCAAGATCACCAGCAATCCCCGGGGAATAACCCTGAGCGCTTCTCGAAAAGACCTCGCCCCCAGCTGAAGGTGAGAATCAGGCATGCTGAGGTGCGTGTCTTCGCCTTTCACTTCGGCGGGCTCGATAATTCCTGCACAAAACCGATGGAAGCTACAGCCTGCCGCCCAGCCCAAACTGCATACACAACATCATTCCCAGGCTCATCCTTTGTAATGCCTACAGACGAAAGAGCTGAGGAGGTGTGGATGCTTTAGATGCAAAAACGGTCGGGACGAGCCAGATGATTTGTCGGAATGAAAAGATTTAACCACCGACTAAACCCATGTTGTTCTAGGTTACAGGTAACCGAGACTCGGGCCCACAGACGTTATGCACAAGTCGCTCGATGCACGCATTCCGTCACTAGAAGAAGCTGCTGATGATAGTGATGGTAGCAGTGTAGATCATGCATGCGATACCCAGAATCATCAAGAGAACATCCGCAGCTTTTTCCCGAGTTGATTTTGCGATGCCTTTGTAGTGTAGAAGAGGAGGGTAAATGTAGACCAGTGGTACGCAACAGATGGAACCAATGAGGGCCACAAAGGTGTCGAGGTTGCTGGATCCGAGAATCGCGATCAAAGCACAAAGGACGACAAGGACGGTTCGGAACCCGTTCTTCTTCCATTTGGTAAATGCGTCCCTTTTCCCAGAGCGACGGCCAAACACCTTGCCTTCGAGGATGCGGAGAGCTGGGAAAAGCTGAACGGGTGTACCGGCCATAACAGCGATGGCGTACAGAAATTGCACGGCGTTGACGAGTCTGCTGCTTTGAGGAAAGTTGGAAATAACCTCGATCTTCGTCGCCTCGCCGAAGGTCGCATAGCAAAGTGCCCCGATGGAGGTGAAGATGATGGTGTTGATGAGCATGATGACCCAAAGAAGAGGCTCGAACTTCTCCGGATGTTGCATGGATGACTGAATTGGAAGAATGAGACCGATGCCTTCGAACGTGAAGATTGCGGAGCCGATGGTGAGTGTGTAGTGCTGAGGGTTGAATAGTTGAACAGTCGGATTGAGGCCATCCTCAACGAGACTCGAGATGTCGTACCAATAGATGTAAGCGAGACCGAGGAGTATGAAGACATCGGCCAGCAGTGCAGCCGGACCAAGCTTGGAAATATTGCGGATGAACGCAAGCGGGATCAATGCAAGTAGTTGCAAGGCGATCAATATATTGGTCGACAACGGAGCGGTTCCTCTGCTGATTGCAACTTCGAAGGAGTGGAGATTTTGTGCGACGAAGACTGTTCCGGCACAGACAAATCCAAGCTGAGAGATGGTGACAGACGCCAGGATGATTGATCTCATTCTCGGGCCCCCAATCGCTTGACCAAGTTCGCCATAGCCGCTCTTCTGGTAGACTTGCCGACACTGCAGCAGCAGGTGGAATGCCCAAGTGGTAACAACAGAGACTGTCAGCAGCGTCATCGACGAGAACAAGATGCCGCCGTTGTTGAATGCCTTGGGCAAGAACATAATTCCGGTACCGATGAAGGCTTTCAAGAGGGTGAAGAATGTTTTGGTTGTGCCGGCCTCGCCCATCTTTGCAGCCATGGTGGTCCGCCGTCGGCCAAGCAGCGGCCTCCTCTCGCCAGCTGCTCTTCCTTCCTCGTCGTCAAGGGTTGACGTATCATCGTCGGTGTCCTCGAGATCTTCTCCGGCGAAGGATCCGTAAAGAGACAAGAATTCGACGAAGTTCCTAGTGACTGGAATAGCAGCGGGGTTGAAGCGGCCGTACTTCTGCCGGACGAACTGTCGGCGGAACCCTCCAGGGGCGAGCTGCTCTGCCACAGTCGTTTCATTTTCGAGGTCGCTGGAGATTTCATTCGGGTGGGAGAAGGTAGCCGCACGTTGATGCAGTCTGGCTCTGTGCGGGATTTTGAAAAGATCACGATGAATGTCACCTCCCTGGAGTTTCAGGGACGACTCTGGCTCAGATTCCCCTGGACCTCTGGGGCTGCCGTCACCAGCATGTACGCCATCTATATCGGCGGTGTATCCATCTGGAAGATGGTCGGCAACGACGCGAGCGGCTCTGCTGTCGTCCGTGGCAGAATTTGGAGTGTCGGACATCGTGGCAGAAACTGCAGATTTCGGTGCCAAGGCAGAGTGTGCGACTCAGATGAGAGGCGAACGAGAGACTTGCCCATACACCAAGGGCTTTTGCAGTAGAAGATTGCAGTTATTAGATATGGGAAAAATCCTTTGAAGTGAGGATAAGATGAATTCCAGGTTTGTTTGAAGTTATTGTTCGACATACGAGAGTGATGGATGGTTCTGGACGTCATCTGTAACAATGCTTGTGGTTCAAAACTGAACATCCGATTGGCCACTGGCCCATCACTGCTTGAGGTGCGCAGAACCGGAGGAATAGAAATTGCGTCTCCGGCATCCATTGTAGTGATGGCGTGCTTGGCTACCCGCATGCGCAAGCTGCTCCTCAGATTTATCGACCGGGCGTTCCAAAGAGCACATTTCGTGATCATGATTCTCCACCGACACTCGGAAGCAGTTCGGCTGGGTCTTCTCTTGTCGCTACCAATGGCGGTGTTGCAAGCCAGGCCGATATTTCCACGACTCCAACCCTCAGCAGCTGGGCTATCGACGGCGACTCGCACTCCTCCCTCGCTTTCTATCGTCCCTTATGAGTTTGCAATTACGAGCGCGTCAGAGTACAAAGAGTAGCCTTGGAGCGCTTTGGAACACTTTGGCTGCAAGAGAAGGCACAATGGACCACATCTATCTCGGGTTGTAGAGGTTGCCTCTATCTGATCGCACTCTTCTTACTGCAGCGTAATAATATCAATCGACCATACGATCTTTTCAGATTGAATGCTGCAGACAGGTAACCCTGGCTCATACTTACACTTAGATATTGCTTCGTTTCTCGTGGCACAATATCTCCAATAAATTGCGCAGCCAGCACTATCTGTTCAATGGGACAAGTTTCGGCTGCAAATAGCGGAGGTCGCCGTCCTGGATCTTATTCACGTATTCCTCTATGTAGCTGAGATACATCTTCGTCAGATTCCCTTCGTCAATTCATCTCTGGGTGACCACCAAAGACGCCAATTTCCTTCCATTCAATGGCTCGCTGGCCAGATCAAGATCCAGATTCACCGGGTTTTCCTTGGTGCAGGACACGGCCAGCGGCTAGCGAAACGCAGAAGTCGGCATTTTCCATCGCAGCTGCGCGATGGGCGATGGTGATGATCGTGCTCTCTTTCAATTCTTCTCTCAGAACGCGCTGTATCTCTGCTGACGTCTCTAGGTCAATGCTAGCAGTCGCTTCGTCCATGATGACAATTGCGCTTCTGCGCAATATCGCTCGAGCGAGCCCGACAAGCTGTCTCTGACCTTGGCTCAAGTTGCGCCCGCCGTCATCAATCTGTGTTTCCAATGTCCATCCGTATTTCCCGCAGACCCTCGAGAGCACACTTTCACAAGCCAAGTTAGAATGTTCCACCATTGGGTCCAGATTGTGGCGTAAGGAACCCGGAAAGAGAATAGGTTCTTGGGCCAAGAAGGTTATCCTGCTCCTCAATACCTGCTTATTGACTTTCGCAATATCAATACCATCGATCGAGATGCGACCGGACTCTGGTATGACTGTCGCCAACAACGCAAGCGCTAAGGTGGACTTGCCGGACCCAGTCCTCCCGGTGATTGTATTTGTCGAGCCGCCTTCGAAGCGAACCGAAACATCTTTAATCGCTGGTTCAAGGTGTGGCTGATACCTGATCGTGACGTTCTCAAACACAACATCACTTCCATACTTGGGCCATGCCGCAGGTGGCTCAATGGAGCTGGGCGGTTCTTGTTCAACATGAGTCAGCTCGATTACCCGCTCCACTGACACGAAGTTGAGTTGGAGTTGGCCGTACGACTTGCAGATTGCGTGAGTCGCTTCAACAAACTTGTTGGCCGATATCAGGACGAACGCTGTGAGGCCAGCCGACAAGTTTGAAAAGATGGCAAGAAGTGTGAGGAGGAAGGTCGATACTGCCGAAAGAGTATCGAATCGGTACATTAACCAAGCTTGCAGACTCCAATAAAAGTGATCCATCTTCTGGAACGCGTCGGTGACCTGGATGTTCTTCTCCTGGAATTGAGTTTGAGCATTAAAAGCCCTGACCGTCATCAGACCGTTCAGCAAGGCCCCGAAATTTGACATCAAAGGCGTCAGCGAGACCATTTCAAGCCGCCGCAAACTTTGTGAGGTCGGCAGAAATCGCAAGAAGATCATAACAAATGCCAGTGTCAGCCCAATGGCGAACAACAGAAATGTCGGTGTGATGCTGGCAATAACAATCATGGAGGAGACCCAGGCGACAGCGTACCAGATCACAACCATGAAAAGTTCCGCAATTCCACCGTCAATGGTACCGATGTCCGAAGTCAGTCGATTCATCAACCTTCCCACCGGCGTCACATCATAGAACTGGAAGGTCGCATTGCTGATACGCTCCATTATTACCTGGAACATCCGCTGAGCCGCAGAGTACGTGACCACCAACATTGATATTTGCGACGCAACCAATCCCACGGTCTCCCAGGCTACAATGACGAGGAATCCGAGAAGCCATGGCCGAACGTTGATGGCCGGGTCGGGGAACTTGTCAAAGAGACCGGAGGTGGGGCTCTGCAAAGGTTGGATGTCTGCTTCCAAGATCTGAAGGGTCAAAACTTGAGCCTTGCCTTTGTTGTATGCCTCTCCCCATTCCTTCAAGAACCAGTTCTCTGCGACATGCGCTGCGCGACAAACCGCCGCTATCAAAACAACCATCAACCACCACCTTATGGTCCCGGCCTTGATGTACTGCCAGTACACCTGGAGTTGTACCCCACCGTGAGCTCGGTATTCGTCTTCGACAAACTTATCAGGAACCGGTGCTGATTCGTCGATGTCTTTGCTGTTATCCGCGACGAGCTCGTCGTCCACTGCGGTGGCTGACGTTACCTTGGAGAGGTCCGCATCACTTCGATGCAGCACAGCTGTGCCGTTCGAGAGCTCAATGAGCTGTGACGCCAGATGCTGGCAAAGGTCAGTCCGGTGTGTGACCAGGACTACAATGCGATTTTCCATCAGGCTACCACACAAACACTTTGTGACAATCCATTCGGCCGTTTGTTGATCCAGAGCACTCAAAGGGTCGTCGAGAAGGAGAACCTGCGTTCGGCTGTAGACCGCTCGGGCGAGAGCCACTCTCGCTTTTTGTCCTCCCGACAAGCCGATGCCGTTTTCGCCGGTCTCGGACAAATCCCCATGCTTGAAGTTGGCTAGGTCTGGAAGAAGAGCGCAAGCTTCGAGCGTCTTCTTATACCGGGATTCCTCGTATGGCGAGTTGAAGAGGATATTCTCTCGGATACTCATGCTTTGAAGCCAAGGAGTCTGGGCACAATAACCAATGGCGGCTTGCGGCTTGTACAGACGCCCTTCGCGCAAATCCAGTTCGCCAAGAAGAGCATGCAGCAGAGCGGTCTTACCCGCCGCGACTTCACCGAAGACAATGGTCAAACCGCGCGGAAAAGAGAGGTTGAGATTGCAGAGCACCGTGCCGGAAAGACCAGGCCACGAGAAGGAGGCATTTTCCAGCTCCAGGCGATCATGCTCACTGGGTGACTGATTGGATTCTGCCTCATCGGCCTTGTCCGGTTCTGCAATGAAATCTGAGATGCGGCCAACTGCGACGGAGGCATTCAACAAGACTGTGATGAGATTTGGAAGTTCGCGGATATTGGTCTGCAATAGCGAGAAGAGCTGCAATGCCGGAAAGGCGATATCGATCCGCAGCTGCCGTCCCGCGACGACAGTGTAAGCGTAGAAGGTGGCGACTGGAAGTATGCCGTTTGCAAATGAGTTCAAGGTCTTGATCGTCGTATTCAAAAGAAAGGTAATGATCCTCAAGTTGAGCTCCTTCTGCCGCGCCGTCATGACGCCATCAAGCCATGCGAAATGCCACCCGTACCATCGCAAATGTCTGATGGCCTCGACATACTGGGTGATCTTTTGCAGCTTGATGTCTGTGACTTTCCGGCGTTCCTTCTCCCATCTGAGAAGGACTCGGGCAAGAAGGTAGTTCAAGAATTGAGCAACTATGACAACGGCAACTCCAACAAAGGATGGCCATCCGAGCAGTTGCCAGATGAGGACGACTGAGAGCACCAGACCGAGAGGCTTGTTGATAAGCGTCTGAAACTCCCAGAAGCGTTGAGCAACTTCGTAAGCGTCGTTTCGAAACAGATTCAGGATCTTCCCCATCGAGGCGGGCGTTTTCCTCTCAACTTCCGCCCGCCTCTTGAGCACAAAGAACGCCTTCACCTTGTGAAACCTTTCTTGTGTTCGACTGGCAACACTCTTCGGTCGCCGCGCGTGCTGGGGAAGAAGCTGTTCGGTTTCCGGGAGGGCGCCTGTCTCCTCTGCCTCAGATGCACCAAGGGGGTTTTCTTCCTCTGGCCCGAAGTTAATCTCAGCTTGCTGGGGAATCCCTCCTAATATCTTCCGATTCAACGTCTTTTCATACAACATCGTAATCATTTCGCCCCGAGAACGCTCATAGCACCTTCTTCCAAACCACAAACTAAAAACTGCGCTCTGCGCTGCAACCAGTCGCACAGCGAGGATGAGCAATGCCCATTGGATTGCGGAACGCTTCTCGATATCGATGCTCTCCATGGCCTGCAGGAGCTTCTGTAGAATGACAGGCGCGGAATAGTTCGCAGCGAGCTCGATGATTGCCAGGATTGTGAGCAGGACCAAGTCGATCCAGTTAGCTTTCAGTAACCGTGTAACAACACTTCCTCTGAGCTCGCGGAAGGTATCATGAAGCTGGCGGTGCTGAAATTCATACGGGAGAAGCCACACATCTTCATCGTTGAGTTGGCGCCTGTTGCCCACCCTGAGCAGGGGTCCAATCCAGGAGACTGTCATCCATTGCAGAAGCGTCAAGTTGTCTTCGGGAGACCGAAAGGCACTCGAAGGAGCATTGAAGGGGCGGCTGATCGCGGCTCGACTCAACGATGGGTCCCGGAGAGGCATATTGACGACCACGGCGATTGCAATGGCCGCCAGAGCAGTGCTCGCGAAAGTAAGGACTGCATTCCTGCCGTTCAAGTTGTGGTAGAAGACCGCGGCGAGGAGACATGCCCCAGCAATGAGAATGCCGACGAGATCCACGAAAAGCAGGATTGAGGCAGTCCTTGGTCGACATGCTATTACATACACCACGGCAAGAGCCCAGAGGGCGCTGGTAGTAGACGCCCATGTAACAGACAGTGCCACCAGAATTTGTGCCACTAAGCCGCTAGCGGAGAGAATAATGAGACAGAGTGAGTGCCACCGTGGTGAGGATTCCTTGGATTCAATCTCCAGACACCCGACAGGCTCCTCGATGAACGGTCTTGGCCACGGTAGTCGAATTCTCGAGTTGCCGATGTTGGGTTTCGCCGCCATCGTGATTTGTCGAAGGCTCAAAGCCACGACAACGCACAACTCCGTCTTTTAGGGAGCAGAAGATTCCGAGCAACGGTTGTGCCAGTGCGAGGTAATGAACAGCGCCTTCAATATCGCGACCATCACTGCCGGAGTTCTCGAGATAGATCCTGCCGCCTCATGACACTCGGCACAATGTCTTCGTTTACGAGGTACAAGGACGTTGAAGAGAAATTCGGTGAGATGATGTTTCAGAATTTTGGAAGGCCATCACGGCACTAAACCACATTCGAACTGTCCACTATCCGTTGCAGGCGATGTCTCTCGCCGCGGATATCCGGACAGGTCCGTACCTTGTTCACAAATGCTTCTCAACAGCATTTCGCCGGTCAAGGCTACTTCAACCACATACCAAGTATCCTTGTGAACCACAAAGTTGAGCACCGGTACTTCACCGCCAGATTCATAACCTCAGATAAGAGCTCGTCCTTTCGAGTTTGGGATGCGTGAATTCTTCCGGTGTGCCGATATCCGAAGCGGCCAAGCAAATGTTGCCAGGAACCGGTCAATCAGATTGGAGGTTTGATAGATCTAGAAGGACGGATTAGGCAGGACCGTAATGGGGTTTCTTATCATGCATATGTCCAAGCTACAGCAGCCGGCTCAACGCCTAGTCTCGTGAATTGAGAGCATTCATGAGATGGCAGAGATCATTTAAAGCGATGGGTTCGCGCTGGTCAACCGCGCTGTACTGCCCGACGAGGTTCAGGACCAGGTTCGTGGCAATGGAGTTCCTCTTGCTTCTTGCCTTTCATGCAGCGTTTGCCTTTTCCGCACCCTTCAGGAGGAATCCTTACAACTACATCCAACCTCTGGCGAACGGTGATGCGTTGTTCGAACTCGGAAACAAATCCTATGTCGCCAACGTTGTGAACCCAAAGGCTGTGGCGACCGTCACCTTCGCTTCAGAAGCTGGCAAAGACGAAGGCAGTGTGCCGTTGACAGTCATCAACACCGAAGCCTCACTCATCACGCAAGATGTGCTCCAGAGTGTGGTTTCAAGTTACCTCCAAGGAGACGATGTCTTTTCGGAAGACTTCCTTGAGGCTGTTCTGATCTCTTCATCGGCGTCGAATCCCATTCTGGACGCATCAGCAATCGCATATCTGCAATCGTACAACATCGGCCAGGTCTTTGTCAGCGGCGGCTTTCCCGCAAGCGGTATGGCGAGCCTGTCGACCTTTCAAACCGCAGCGCCTCCCGCTGGACCTTACCTTGCAACCATCAAGTCCGGACAGCTAGAGCTTGCCTCGGTTTATCTGCTGTATGCAGACTCATACCGAGACTTCTTGTACGGGACGTACAACTCCGATGATGGTACTGACACCTATATTGCTGTCCCAGCTTACCTGGCAAGATACTGGAACCCGATGATACCGGTCCCATCGCGGATATACAGCTGGGAAGACAGCAGACCTTTGGCAGGAGAACGGGTTGCTGTCAAAGATCTGTACGACATCAAGGGACTCCAGACCTCTGGCGGGAGTCAGGCATGGGCATATGTCACACCTCTGGCTGACGGAACAGCTCCATCGGTCCAGAAGCTCATCGATCTCGGGGCTGTCATCGTCGGAAAGTACAAGCTTGCTCAGTTCGCCTCAGGTGCAGATCCGTGGCAATGGCAGGACGAACATTATCCCTTCAACCCGAGAGGCGATGGCTGGTTGACGTGCTCGGCCTCTTCGTCCGGTGGAGGGTGTTCGATAGCGGCATATGACTGGCTTGACTACGCAATCGGATCAGACACCGGATCTTCAATGAGGCGGCCCGCAGCAGTGAGCGGCGTATATGGGTAAGCGGGCAACGATGCGTTTAGTGATCGAGGAGCTGACTGGTTGAAGACAACGGCCCAGTCAAGGATTGATGACTCTTGAACGTGTGATGCCTCTCGGCGGAGCAACCGACACCGCAGGTGTTTTCTGTCGCGACCCGTACAAATGGATCAAGTTCTCGAAAGCATGGTAAGGAAGCTGTCCCCGCAACAAGACCCACTCTGATGAGAAAAGGTACACTCCGGACATGTATCAAAGTCCGAACCTGACAGGGCTGTCGCCCTTGGTAGTGCCCGACACCGACATGTTCCCAAAACGCATCCTGTACCCGGTTGAGTATCTGCCTCTGAACAACTCAGCAGCAGAAGTCGTGCTGCAACAATTCATCAGCAATATGAGTTCATTGTTCGGGATGACGGTGGAGAAATTCAACTTTACCGCGACGGTCCAGAACGCGACAGATTCCCGAGTCAACAACCTGACATACCTTTCGTCGAGGCCTCTGGGTGTTATTAACGCCTGGACCCAATGGTCCCAAGTTGCCAAACCGCTCATTACAAAATGGGCAGAACTTTTCGACGGACGCTTCCCGCCGATTGATCCCGCTCGACGACCTGGATGGGTGAACTTCAACGAGACCATCAACAACGCCGCCACGTATCAAGACGCGTTGCAAGCTAAGAACCTTGCTGTGGAATGGTATGAGGAGAATCTGCAATTCAGCACAGCTGACTCTTGCTCCGAATCGGTCATGCTGTACGATATCGGACCCGGAGGCTTGCCATCTTTTCGCGAGGAAGGCTTGAATGAATCGCCCGCTGCTTCGTATCTGGCCGTTCGGCCGCCGACTGCAAAGATCACTGGAGCTAACATTTGTCCCATTTATGGTTGCGCGGATTTCACAATACCCATTGGCCAAGTCCCATATTTCAGCAACGTCACATATCATGAGGAGATGGTGCCCGTAACGATTAATATGGTGGTTAAGCGCGGTTGTGACTTTGTCCTCTTGAACATGATTGAAAAGATGGCAGACGCCGGAATACTGAAAACGGTGAAGACCGGTCGCACTTCGTTCTGAAGGTGCGAAATGGCTGAACTGTATATACATGTCTTTCAATGCACATAATCCATCTCAATATATATATTCCAACTCCTGCTAGTATAAAAACTATAGCTTAAGCGAGATAAGTTGAGATAGAGATTAGAGAAGGAATATAGTAATTAGTACTACAGAAACTGTTAGGGACTGTTACAGCTGGCCTTTGACGAGGCTAAGGGCATGTACACGACAGGCAACTAGGCCGAGACCAAAGGGAGCATAGGGACCGCAGCCTCGGGAACAACAGGCTGGGGTTACGTGACTGCTCAGTTGCGCTCAGTTAGGATTAGTATACTCAGTACTGAGCACACTAAGCGCCACTAAGCAGACTAAGTAACTAACGAATATATATACGTAGGTTGGCACTCACCTACATAACACTGTAGTCAACTTCGTTAATACTCTAACCCCTACCTTTAGACTAAGAGTGTTATTCTACTATCACGCCGTTATAAGTAACCGCGTGCCCTTCGCCCTCAGTAGATATACAGTTGTTACTCCTCACAAGTAAACTTACTTAGACCGTATACCGCCTTACATAGAGCGATTTATAATACTTTAACTACCCTCTTAAATAAGTATAACTAAGATATCTAGTAGTAACCGACCTACTTTACTACCTATTAATCGTCCTACTATAGGGAGTCTTAGAAATATATTTACTAATAGCTTAGTTAATATTCGTGACGAAGTGTTACACACGGCCTCGCAGGAGACCGGCCACGAGTCGCCAAGCAGAGACTCGCTACGTTCATTGGACACCTGGAGGGAACACAGGGCGAACCAGGATTGGCTGCGGACCGTCACGTGACAGGCTCTGTCGGCCCTGGGGGCACAGCAACAGAGCGAGCAGAGCGAACAGAGCGTGGTGCAGGACACACGGGTATATATACG